TAGGTATCAAGATCTATAGAGATAGATCGAGGCGTCTTCTAGGATTGTGTCAGAGTACTTACATCGATAAGGTCTTGAAACGGTTCAAGATGCAAGATTCCAAGAAAGGAAGAAAGGAACCTTACCGATGAGTAGTGGCACAGTTCTCTGCAAGAGTCAGTGTCCTATGACACCTGATGAGCGAGAACGCATGGATCGTATTCCATATGCTTCGGCAATTGGATCCATCATGTATGCTATGCTTTGTACTCGACCGGATGTATCCTACGCGTTGAGCATTACGAGTAGATACCAGTCAGATCCAGGTGAGTCGCACTGGATCGCCGTCAAGAACATCCTGAAGTACTTGAGAAGGACTAAGGATGTGTTCTTGGTATACGGTGGGTCGGAAGACGAGCTCGCTGTAAGAGGTTACACCGATGCTAGTTTCCAGTCAGACCCGGATGACTACAGATCGCAGTCTGGCTATGTTTTCTGCTTAAACGGAGGCGCTGTTAGCTGGAAGAGTTCCAAGCAGGCAACCGTTGCAGATTCTACTAAAGAAGCTGAGTATATTGCAGAGGAGACATGCACATTTGCAGAGTGTCGACAGATGACAACATTGCCGATCCGTTGACGAAGCCTCTCCCTTCATCGAAGCATGAGGGTCATGTTAGGGATATGATCATTAGATGTTTAGCAGTTCATGATTAGAGCAAGTGGGAGATTGTTGGTTTAGTGCTCTATGATGTACTATTTATGAGCTTTATTCAGATACATTAGATGTATTGATACTTTCCACAGGTTTTATGAGAGTATTTGATTCATTACATGTTCTTGTATACTAGATGTGTTATGAAATCCATGTATCATTATGAATGATACTAAACTCCCTAGTCTTGTGTCATTATGGGAATGATGACATAATAAGACTAGTATGATGTGTGATTGATGATCATATAAATGATCGTAGGTATTGGATACGATCACAATCATAGGTATTCGTTGGAGAACGGAATACTGGATTGACCCGCATGAGATTGTAACATGGACTAGCGTCATGACTGGAATCTCAAATGG